ACTGTAAACAAATTTGTTAATTTCGAATACATAATGCACCATTACCAAATATGCCGCCGGCGTATGTCATTTAAAGGACTAAAACGTGCAGACTTGTTATGTCGGATATTTTTATTCGTGGTTTCAATCTATTATATTATAATATCGATAATATTAAATGGTAAAAATCATTATTCTACGAAGTGTCTGAGTCTGGAAAGTTTGATAGTTAATAGATGGTTAAAATAATATTGATTATATTACCGGACTTAGATCGAAATATCCGTCGGAACGAAAGTTCATAAATGTTAGAAAAGGTTGTTGGTATTTGCATAAAACTTTGCAATTTTATAGTTAAAGTGATTAAATGAATAAACTAACTACGATTTCCAAAATTGTTGCAAGAGTGCAACGAATCACCGAGTATGAATAACAGATGTCGTGGGCTTTGCGTCATGCAAAGTCCATTAGGTAAATGCCAAAATTCAATAAAGGTGAATATGCATATAATACAAGATGACCCTTTTTAGTTTGTTTATTTGTGATTCAAATGTCGACCAAAGGTAAACTGTTCAGAGTCCAGATCAGAAAATTAATAAAATTTGCATACATGATTTGAAATATAAATTTGACATTATTTATATATACTATAAAATGTCAAAATAAAGCATGCAGCAGTTTGACCCTTCCGGATACATAATTTGTCGAACAACCCGATAAGACAAGGCATCCTGTATTTACAAAACTATGCAGATGCAAGCAGCAAATGCGATGATCTGTATTTTTGTCCGCATATCGGAGTATTAAATTGATAAGCTAAGCTTGCTTCTTGCTAAGCTCTAGTTATCGAACAATGAACTTTTTTGCGAAGTACGAAAGTTTCTCATAGTCGCACTGTGTAATTTTTTGTGAACAAGACTTATATCTCACGGCTGAAATTTATTTAATCTAATATTGACTTTTTCCGCGAATAAATCCATTCCATTGGATCATGACCGAGTCGAATAAAATGAACACAATACTGATCTCAAAATCAAAACAAATAACAAACATTTCGAAGTTCAAATAAAGTGACCTTTGTTCATGTTTTTAGATAATTTTACAATAAATACAATACGATCTTCGTCGACTTTCATTCGGAATAAACAACCGCATAGATCAACAAAAACATATGGGCAACGACCGTACCGGAAAATAATATCGGATTACTCTGAAAACTTATACATAATTTATTGGCACTCAATACTGTGGAAATAAAGAGAAAAATATCAAAATTTCAGATTATCAGAGAGTTCCCAAACAGAAGCTCATAAATCTTATTACATAAAAAGCATTTCTTTGTGGTTGTATATTCAATTATGGTAACGTAATTTCAACAAAAAAGCAAGAAAATACTTTCTCAGTTTGAATTGCCTGGATAACATAAAGTAAACTCACAAACGATCAATGAAACTACAGCTTCGACCACAAAAAATCAATTTAGCTGACAACTGAACAAAGAAAATCGGAATTCAAATCATTCCGAAATTTACATTTTTACGCGATAAACCTTGAATTGTTTTTACAACTTCCTCAGAACAAGCTTATACAAGACGTCACTTACAAATAAGGGCCAATATACAAAGTTGTTTAGCCGTTTTCATCCGAATTGATTATCTTGTATAGGAATATGTTGAACAAATATAGTAGTCAAAGCTCAAACTTATCGCTCAAATTTATTATATAAGTAGTCCATCCCTTTTAACCGCGAGGACATCATGATAAAAATATATATCGTTACTTGGAAATTGAAGTCTGAAAAAAGCAATGACAAAACGTAAATAATTAGGCTGGGTAATCCAAGGAAAATATAGTTTGTTTTACTCTTTCTAGGAAGCACAATAAGATACACAGGTGACGCAAAGCACGTATAGATAAGAAACGTTGATCACTCATGAAATCTTGGGTCAAACATGTACGAAATATTACTCATATTGAAATAAACTTGGCATCGTCGACCCAGGAAAGAATCCAGCAGATTAGCATCGGAGAATATCGCAAATAACAAAACTACGTTTTTAACTTATCAAAAACACAGCAATACAACAGAGTTGATATTGGGTGTCAGCTGTATCAGAAAATAAAGAAAGTAGTCAAAAAACTAATACCACTTTCACGCAAAAACGTTTTTGGTGGAACAGAAGCATAATTATACAAAACTGCGCAGAAAACATTGCAACAAGACAAAAGGCCGTTAAAGCCTAAACATGATGAACATTGGAAATTACAAGCAATTACCGTGAGGAAGCGATTTTGAATTCAATTAATTAAAAGCAGCATACAAGCAAAGTAAATTTGTTAAGGGCTCATATTTTCGCTTCATTACATTTATATCTTAGAGCAAAACATAGGAAATTCTCAGATGAAGGATAAAAAGTCGAACATATAAATATTCCTTAATTACTGCCGGGTATTAACAACAAATTACATTCAAGATATTCGTTATAAAGCCACACGGAAGTTCCCAACACTACAAACCTGACTTGACCTTCCGGAAATTCCCGAAAATTAAAAAGGAAATCACGTTTAGTGCGTCACAGTTTAAAATCCTAAGGAAATCTTTAAATATTCATAAAGACAAGTGCACCAAGAGTTCAGCTGATCATTGTAAGAGCCGTAGGATTGTTCAATAGACAAAGTGGTGTCATCATTCGTACCGTAATATTTATCGCCACCGGTATTTGAATTAGTACACAACTGCGGTTAATATTGTGATTCATATAAATGCGAGACCATTCATCAACTGATGATGATCTGGCATTAGAAGATAAAAACTGAATATATATAGTTGAACAGTCCCGGAATAATTAGTTTAAATTAATTTATAACACCCAAGAAGATTTCTTCCGTGGCAAAATAGTGTAAAAATCCTTTAGCATCTTCAGTATTTTACAATGCGAGTTTTCAAATTGAGTATTTTCCGCGTTTAAATTAAATCGTTAACTATACCTGAAAAGTTTCTGGAGTTTACATATTGATTTAAACTTGATTGCAGCAAAATCTTGCAAACGCATCCGAAATGGCGCTCCATGCCGGTAACTAAAGATCGCAGTAAGCGCGAAATACTTCCGTACTATGCACGTTACGCAGACTAGAGATTTGTCATATAATGTCCTAGCAACTGCGATGCGAACTCTTAGTCGTTTTGATACCTTCAGTTTCCAGTTACTACAATAAGTGTATACCTACATACCTTTCAACTTTCAAAACATAAGTGAGTAATGTAGTTGTCGCATATTCCAGTTTCCCGTTTCTACGAAATAAAACCAATCTTTCATTCTTCATATAAGTTCATTATCGTTTCTCCTTTCTCTTTCTTTTATTTATTCAAAATCTTGTTCAAACAAAGCGTTTGCTTATTCGTTTATGAGAAAATCGAAGATGAATATGTAGAATGCAGGCGGACATAACAATGTAGCCAAGTCTAGGGAGAAAATTGGCCACACCTTTTTATTGTGCTTGGTTAAAGAGAATAGAACTTATATTCTATTGTAGCCCTTTATTACCAAAGGTAATGATGAAGAGGTAAAGAGCATTTAATTATATAGGTGATAGACCCAATGCTTATTGACTAGAGTTAGACACATATATGTCATTCACAAAGTTAATTTTATATAAATATATTATAATATATATATCAAAAGATAAAATCATTTGAATATAACAAATTCGCCAACTTGAAATTTCCAAATGATCGTATCTCCTAACCAAAGATTTTGCTGCAACATCTACGAAATCGATGTTGTATGCGTTTGAATATAATATATATATTATGATATGCTGAAAACTTATTGTTGTTTCGACCTGAGTAATAAGCGGATTCAATTTTGGACACTGAACCTACCTCTAAAAACTATTTTTTGAAGTCGTGGTGAGATAAACCTAAAAGAAGAAAGCATCATGTAAATAAATGGCAAATTTCACTATTGATGGTCTATTTCAAAATCTGTAACCTACATTAGGACAAAAGGAAGGTTTTAATAAGTTGATCACTCACTTATTCATTCTGGTGACGTGTACCATCAAATAATGGTATCGCGCAATCTTTTGTTCTAGTGATAACGTGTATTGCGTCACACATATAATTGAACTTGATCAGAAGCACTACTTGATCCCATCAAGTTTCATATTTAAGCGAGATGCAACAATTGAACTGCTTTTCAATTACTGCCAAAATGCTCGACTGAAAGCCTGCACCTGTATGGTTTTTCACAGCGTACTCGAGATCATAAAAACAGGTTTTGGAAAGATTGTCATTTCACGAACGTATCCTATCGACAATATATCTGAGGGAAACATTTTTCAACAAAGAAAAATCTGCCTTTTCTTGCATAATTTTAAGTCATTTTAGTTAGCGTCGGGCTTATATGACGCGCAGCGCTAGAGTGATAAGAGACACGTTGTGTTGGCGAACACGACCCGAATGAATTACAATCAGAAACGGCATCAATGTCCTTCAAACTTCCAAAAGAACATTTGAGAGTCCTCAACAAATTTGATATATTGCGAGTGGAATTTTCAATTATCCAAACTTATCATTGTTACGAGTGGATGTGAAGCCACTCGGCCGCGTCAAGTGTAGATTACATATTTTATAAAGGGAGGAGAAATATGCAGTTGACATATTTCGAATGTCAGACAATATAATCATTATCAAAAAATGTGTCATTATTGAGATAATTTGCTAGTTTTACACTGCTGGCAAAAGCAGTTCAAATGGTAATAAGTTTAATTTCAGAAGTGCATCCATCACTGAAAATAAAAAGAACATCATTGTAAACGCCTTTTTAAAGATGAATTTCACAGTTACAAATCTTGTTGACTTTGTCAACTTCACGAATGAAGAAATTGAGAGCGAATCAGATTCAAGTTTAAATTCGCAAGTGATTGAGACAATCCATTTAAGAAAAGACAGAAAAAACATACATATCCCAATCCCATGATAGTGTGCTATAGCTGCTCAAAATAATACAAAAATCAGATTCAGTGCGTTTAGTTTATTAAAACTAAAGAAATGGAACAAAATAATTGCTAACTAGGCACAGTTGAGTGGCACCAAAACACAATGTTTTGTATAAAATACAGTGAAATAATATAAATGAATTTCTTCAACTCCTGGAAAACATATGTACTAGTACCAGATGCGCGTAATAAATGGTGAATCTTTCACCAAAAACAAAAACGACTACTTCATCTCGTTCTATCTATAGGTACAGTGGGACCGATCATAAGTAAATGAGCAATCAGAGCGACATACCAACGCTGACCCTCGCAGTCAATCATAATATTATAATAGGTCGGACATGTACAAATTCAATGAAACTAAACCGCGTTTTAAGATTCAAATAAATCAATAGTTTGAAATTCTTCAGAATAAATGGAAATAAACATGGTATAGTTTCAACTGTCAATCAGGAAAATAACAACAATTTGACCCTTACAATTCCAGGTGTTACAAATGATCGAAACGCACTAGTTCGGGAAACTAGTTATGTGGATCCAAATTCATTCATCCAAGCTTCGTATTTCTTAAGATCTTCTGCTGATACAGACTTGGAAACTTTCTTACTGGCATCCTGAAAATCTTCTGCTGTGACAGGCATATGCAGCTCAGCTTTTGGTAAAGCACGTATCTGGTCAGGCTTGAGGTCGGCGATACGGCGACGCATAGACATGAGTGAAGCATCCCTGATATAGGAAAATAGTAAGGTGATTGATCAATTACTGGTACCTTGTTAGCTAAGCACAATGGCGACATGGTAACAGGGCAAGAGGCTACAATTATGCTTCCACGGGTGATAGATATTTCAAATTCAATCTAATTTATGTCAAGAGTTTTACCAAGCTCAACAGTGAATGACTGAAATTATATCCCATATCAGGATTTCTACAAAAAAAAAAGTGTCCACGTTGCCCTACCACGAAAAGTCTTTGAAATTTTAAAACTAATAATTCGTGCAAAGTGGACTTCTTCAAATTAATGAAGATACCCTTTTTTAAATATCATCTTATGAATTTAATACAATACCCAAAAACACAAAAGTCTCTTCCGAAAGCTATTCAATTTAGGAGATTGAAGAAGTAAAGTGGCTATTCTATAAAGTCTTTTCCTTGCGTACAAAAACCTACACACTAACCTGCAGACGTTTGTTAAATCAGCTCCAGAATATCCTTCAAGCTTATCGGCAATTAATTTTAGATTGACATCATCAGCTATCTCCACTTCTTTTAGATTGATTTTAAGTAAACTTTCCCGAGCAAGAGCTAGAAAATAATAAATATGGAAAATCACAATAAAATTAGAAACATCACCTAAAAGGATTCTATCCCAATAAATTCTAGCAATTGCTCGATATAGCCCATTGAATATAATGTACCTACAACTAACAATGCTGGTTGACACTGTACAATATTATGAAGATATAAAATTGTGCGGATAGTCTTGTGTTGGGCTGCACAAAGTTAGCAAATAATTTGTAGACCGCAACAGACCCTTGATTTAAGTTTCTTTCCATTACTGCTGACATCCATAGACTGTACAAAGTACAATGAAATTGGAACGAGTTGTTGAAAATGGTTCACAATGGAATTTGATTGATATCGTAAGTTAGAAATGCAGAAAGGCTTGCGACCAACCTTGCTATTTGCAAAGTTAGGTTATAGCTGAAATTTTCGTTCATCGACAGCTAGAGCCAAGATTTTTAACCAGGCCATGCGCCAGGTATCATTTTTTGAAATAACATAGAATTTGCAGTCAACGAGTCTGGAGTAAATTTTGCCAGGCTTTACAGCCCTGAATCAGAATTTTTTCAAAGTGCGCTACACTTCTCTATATCCTTCTCTGGAGCCTAGAAATGCATCTAGTATAAATTAATGGAATATATTGTCTGCTATAATTTTTCATAATATTCCACAACTACACTATTTTTTGATATATTGTTGCATCAGTACCGATTCATAATATCATTTCATCAACCCCCAGTAAAAACTGGCAGATCTAAGTCCTCCATATAATCTCACCATCAGGCAATGGAATATAAATTCTCTTTTCTAATCTTCTTTTCAAAGCTTCATCAATATCCCATGGAAAGTTAGTTGCAGCAAGAACCATGACCATTTTTGTGGCATCTTCTCCTCCAGATACACCTCCAACACCATCCATCTATGATAAAAAAAGTTTTGTCATCATACATGTATGAAGAATAATGATGAGATACTAGTACAGAGGGGCGTTTCATACAGCTTGTATATACGTGGCCCTTGAAAGATTCGTATCCCACTATTTTTTATACCTTTTTCTTATTAGCAATGGCAGCATCAGCGTTTTGGACGTCGTTCATCTGACAAGGACTCAATAACTTTATATTTCTTTATTGGTGTCTATTGTGAGTAAAAAAGGTAAAATGACGACCAGTAAAGAAGCAAGGTTGGGTATAAATGCAAATATTTAGCGCTCATTGTTCAACGTACAATATTAAGTGACAGTATTATAAAAACACTTTACTGGTTAGATTAACATTGTAGATTAATCACGACTTGAAAATATTCTTCGAAAAGTGTATCTGGGAAACAATACTTAGTGAAGCAGTAATACTTAGTAGTCACAGTGGCTCGCTGGATGAACGATGTCTCGGACAATATCGAAGATTCAAAATTACGAGCAACCGTTGATCACAAACAAGCCTACCATGGGAATGATTCGCATATTTTTACAGGATGTGTGTGGACAAATATGAAAAATCATGCACAAAAATCTCTCATTCGGCATCACATACTGAATGTGTTAATCAAAAAAAGACACATCCCTAGAATTTTACGTTTTGGACCATTGCTATAAACAGTTGCACGCCCCCATGCTAGTTAAATGGTAGTTGTGTAAAATGTAAAAGCAATTACGCAGAATATTATTAATTGGAGCTCTAAATACAACACATTCAAAACACCAATCAGTATAATTTATGAAGTACCGTATTACAAACATTACAAAAGTTGATTTAAAAAAAGTTTTTGGCATGATACCTGTATCAGAAGTTCTGCTTTCACTCTCCTGCTAGTTTCGTGTTCATCACCCGTGCCTCTTTTGCTTCCAATTGAATCAATTTCATCTATAAATATTGTGCTTGGCGCATAAAATCTTGCCTGTGCACAAAACCAAAGAATAATTTCATAAGAAACGTCATCCATATTTGGGCTATAAAAATCCTTAACCTCAACAAGTAAGAGTTATAAACGAGTTAAACCAAATAACTGACCAGATTTCCATCTTGATGAACTTTCTCTTGTATGCTTATCAAAGAAAAGTTGGCTGTCATTTTTCCAGTGAATTCATGAGAATTCCAGTTCCGAATTCCCTGCACATTGAATTTTTTCCCTAATCACACTGACACAGATTTTAACCAGTGTTTGTTGGTACCTACGATATCTTACAGTGGTTGCTTGCAATGTTTCATCCGAAAAGTTTTTATTACTATATGAGTGCCTCTGACTATGAGTTTGACGTTTGAGCAAAGTGTCATACCAAAACATATTATTTACATCTTTTAGAGTGTCTGGAAGTCATTTGAAAGATATATAACTATGCTGCAAGGCAATAAACATCTACATACCATTTCAAATAACAATCTGACAAGTTTTCTGATTCTCCTCTATATTTTTTGAACTAAGAGAAGATGATGACACATTGAAGAAAGTCGTTTTACATTCTGTGGCAACTGCTTTTAAGCAAGAAGCGTCTTTCCTGTGCCTGGTGGGCCAACCATCAATATACCCCTAAAAACATGAGAAGCATGTAAAAAGCTAAGAAAAAGGGACTAATTTTTGCAGCAAATACACATGCAAGTAGATATGCTTTTTACAAGTTTTATACATTGTAATTCTTTGTTAGCCTTCACACTTCACAGTATGCAAATCTTGTAATTCGTATGCATGATCGAACAACCTTAGTCATGAAATGTTAATAATAACACAATATCCACATATAAACTAGATTAAAACGCTATATACCACAACAATACCAATTCTATATAAGTAGTTTCATCTTTTTTCTGCCATATTAAATATCAGTTGTACAAAAGTTGAATGTTTACTATTTATCAAAACAATACCGAAATTCTATTATTCAGAATTTGTTCTTCATTGTAGTTATAAAAATCGTAATTTACAACACTAAACACAGATACAAAATAAGACTTACTTTCCATGGTCTTCTGATGCCTTTGAAAAAATCTGGCATAATGAGAGGTAAAATTACAGCTTCTTGTAGTAATTTCTTAGCTTCTTCCAAACCTGCTATATCACCCCTGAAAATATGATGAGAATTAGTTATTGGAATTCAATAAAATATTAGGACATTGGGTACATAAATAACAATGATATACTTACCAATGTATATTTGGATGTCGTTGAATTATATCTCTTTCCAATGCTTCCACAAGATCTTTATCATAACCAGTAGCATCAAATTTTGGTTCATCTTCAGAGCCTTGCTGTCTTTTTGGTGAGCTCGCTCGACCTTTCTCAACTTTTTTAACCTATTGGGAAAATTTAAACAAGGTTAATTGATTTTGCATCAAGTAATAAGTAGTAATATACTCAACAAACAATTCTTTACGAATGACCTAATTACAGATTATTATCATTTTATTTTCCGTGTGTATTCAATATTTTAGGTTGTAAAGATGGGAAAATCTTAAAACAAAGGTAAATTGTAATAAACCAAAGTTCGCTTTGAATGACATTTTAAACACATGTTCCATAAACTACAATACAGCTTTTTTCATTTCATTTTTAAACAAGTGATAATTTCCAAATTCATTAAGATAGCTTAAACACAATACTAAATCTGGTAAAAATAGACAATGCTGGCAAAGAATTTACCTATAATAGATAGTATGAAATAAATTGACTGGAAAATGGAGGAATTAACTGCCACTACACATCCTTTTATAAATAAATAACTACTATGAATATCGAAACATACTCTGTCTGCAGGTCTCTTTGCTGAATATTTGTCATCACTACTTCTGCCAACTGCACCACCACGATTTCCAGCAGGTCTTGCAGCAACAGCACGTCTATCTGGTCCAGATGGTTTGACATCACGCACTCCAGGTCTGTCTCTTGCTGGCTGTACATTGCGTCGATTCCCTCCATAATTAGGAGCAGGTCGGCTAATAATATCAATATGAACGATATTAAACAAATTGAGGCAGATGTCTCTAAGGAGCAATTTGATAAATAACATAGTATTATTTGTATGTAAACTAGATATTAATGTTCAGCCATGCTTTATAAAGTCAACTTCTAACAAACTTACCCCTGATTTTCCGCAGGTGTAGGTGGTGGCCAAACATCTGGATCCCTAGTTGGTTCCTCATAAGCGGCTCCTCTACTAGGTCGGTTCGATTGAGGGTAACTTCCATCTGATCTAAAACTGGCTAAAGTGTTCGAAATACCCTTGAAGAAAATAACAAAAATATATTGGTTGGGGAGAAAAATACCGGTAAATTGACTGATTAAACCCCACTCATTCATGTTGAGAATTAAGAAATATTAGATATTTAGTATAATTTATATTCAGGTTTACATATTTATGCCAAGGAAGAAGGAAAGCCGATAAGACGACTTAATAATCATAAGGCGTACCACGTCCTCTTGTCTGGTTACCAGTCCATGTCGGGTATGGAATTAGTTAGTTATTCGTTTCATACATATGGACTTCAAAACTTGGTTTAAACCAGTAAAATTTTGGCTTGAATATTCGTCAAGCAAATTCATCTACCATACAAGTTTAGGTACCATTGCTCCGTCCTGAATTTATGGACTAATAAAATGAGGAGCGCATTTTCAAAATTTATTGTGTGCACCAAAAGTTGATAAAAAAATAGTGGTAAAAAAGCACTAAATCTCCAACCTTGACATGTTCATATTCCTGAGAGAATTCTTGCCGAACTTGTTGCCACATATTTCGTTTGGAAACATCTTTTAGTGAAACCAAATGTTTTTGAATTTGTTGCAATACCCCCTGCAAATAAAAGACATGTTACAATTTTAAAAGTCATTTTTTATAAAAAAAAAAAACACATACTATGGAAACTAATTATGGAAACCAGGTAATTACTCGCAAATGAAATAACTTCAGGCCAAAACCCAGAAAGTTCCCCTCAAGTCCAGAACCTCATCGGTTTCTCTTCCAACAATCTGTTTCCTGAGGTGTTTCAAATTTGTGTTAATCGATAGTTACAGATGTGGTTTCTAATGTTGCTTTATCGCCTACTTTATCAGTTTACAATCCTTTGCTACTTCCTTATAGACTCTGAGACTAGTAAAATGTTCTAAGCATGTTTCAAAATTCATTGTACGGACTGAAAAGTGATTAATGAATAATAATGGCAGAATGGTGGAGAAATAATACAGTAATGAAGCAAAGATAAACTAACCTGATAATAAACCACTGCAGTGTCATAATTTCCCAAAAGAGCATATTCACGACCCATTTTAACATTTTCACAGAGTTCTTGCAAATCTGTCATGTTTATGTGTCAGAAGTCTCACTTAATGATTGATATTGCTTCTTTATTTTATTCATCTAAACTACTGAACTATAAAATTATGCAATAGCCTACTGCAATAAACGAAATTGAACCTAATGATGATACATATTGTGATAACCAAATACCAATACATCTATTAACATCCAACTAAGACAATAAATATTGGATTACCTGTAAGCTACAAACATACGGTCAGACGGGTACTGAGACCAAAGTTACTCTAGCCCACAATTTCCCAGCCCACAATTACGGTACTTGGAGATCAGAGGGTTAATCATGCATATATTTACAGCGATTAAAGGACTTTAAGCAAGGCAAACCTACTGAATTTATTTATGGGACTAATAACGTGTTCTTTTACATTAAAACCAGTACCCACAATCAAATGTGCCGACCGCTAAACTGCAATGTCGGCTGGCGTAATCAGAATTGTGGGCTAGCGTAACCGAAATTGTGGGCTGGGGTAACCGGAATTGTGGGCTGGAGTAACCTTGCTCTACACCAAAAATGCCACTGTGTCCACATGTATTAATTATATCCCTGATAACTTCTTACCTTTTTCTAGTTAATCTGAAGCAAAGTTTTGAACGATACTTCGCGTTACAGAAATATTTGAACTGAACTAGAGCCTAGAAACTGGAAACTGAATGTGGTAGAGTAACTTTTTTGGCAAACAGAAGTCCTACATATTATCCGTAAACACTAGATGTCAGTAAATAACTACGGGCAAGAACTTGGATTTTCGATGGAAATTGACAATATTACCTATATTTAAAATTGTACATTGCAATTAAGTGAATAAATAAATTACACAACGAGTGCAACCTTGAATTTGTATTCAACACAAAGGTAATAATAAGGGATTGTGGAATTGTTGAAGTAATCCTTTTCTACTTCTGAAATAATTTATTTTCGGTCAATATTCAATAATATAAATAGATATTTTAGAGCAATTGCCACGCATGGGTATATACCAGTTGGGTAGAGTATAAAAAAACCTTTCAGAAAATGATCAATATGCAAATTAGCTTTGAAATAATCCTCTTCTGCGTCTAGAATAATTTTATTTCGGTCGATATTCAGTATTAGTTATACTACTTTCTCAAGACTTGCCACGCATAAGTTTATCATAGTTGGATAGAGCATAAAAATGCCTTTCAGGATATAATGAAATAAACATGACCTCTTTGGGGAGTTAATATGCAAAATAGCTTTGAAATAATCCTCTTCTACGTCTGAAATAATTTTATTTCGGTCGATATTCAGTATTAGTTATTACTACTTTCTCAAGACTTGCCACGCATAAGTTTATCATAGTTGGATAGAATATAAAAACACCTTTCCGAAAATAATAAAATAAACTTGACCTCTTTGGGGAGTTAATATGCAAATTAGCTATGAAATAATCCTCTTCTACTTCTGAAATAATTTATTTTCGGTCGATATTCAGTATTAGTTATTACTACTTTCTCGAGACTTGCCACGCATAAGTTTATTATAGTTGGATAGAGTATAAAAATACCGTTCAAAAAATGATAAAATAAACTTGACCTCTTTGGGGAGTTTTTATGCAAATTAGCTTTGAAATAATCCTCTTCTGCGTCTGAAATAATTTTATTTCGGTCGATATTCAGTATTAGTTATTACTACTTTCTCAAGACTTGCCACGCATAAGTTTATTATAGTTGGATAGAGTATAAAAATATTTTTCAGAAAATGATAAAATAAACTTAGCCTCTTTGGGGAGTTAATATGCAAATTAGCTATGAAATTATCCTCTTCTGCGTGTGAAATAAATTATTTTCGGTCGATATTCAGTATGAGTTATTACTACTTTTTCAAGACTTGTCACGCATAAGTTTATCGTAGTTGGATAGAGTATGAAAATACCTTTCAGAAAATGATAAAATAAACTTGACCTCGGTGGGGAGTTAATATGCAAATTAGCTTTGAAATAATCCTATGCTACGTATAAACTGATGTTTTGATCATTATTCAGTATTAGTTATTACTACTTTCTCAAGATTTGCCACGCATAAATTTATCATAGTTAGATAGAGCATAAAAATACCTTTCAGAAAATAATAAAATAAACTTGACCTCTTTGGGGAGTTAATATGCAAATTAGCTATGAAATAATTCTATGCTACGTGTGAAATAATTTATTTTCGGTCGATATTCAGTATTAGTTATTACTACTTTCTCGAGATTTGCCACGCATAAGTTTATTATAGTTGGATAGAGTATAAAAATACTTTTCAGAAAATGATGAAATAAACTTAACCTCTTTGGGGAGTTGATATGCAAATTAGCTTTGAACTAATCCTATGCTACGTATAAACTGATGTTTTGATCATTATTCAGTATTAGTTATTACTACTTTCTCAAGACTTGCCACGCATAAGTTTATCATAGTTGGATAGAGTATAAGAATACCTTTCAGAAAATGATAAAATAAACTTGACCTCTTTGGGGAGTTAATATGCAAATTAGCTGTGAAATAATTTTATTTCGGTCGATATTCAGTATTAGTTATTACTACTTTCTCAAGACTTGCCACGCATAAGTTTATTAGAGTTGGATAGAGTATAAAAATATTTAGAAGAGGATAGACGTAGAAGAGGATTATTTCAAAGCTAATTTGCATATTAACTCCCTGAAGAGGTTAAGTTTATTTTATCATTTTCTGAAAGGTATTTTTATACTCTATCCAACTATAATAAACTTATGCGTGGCAAGTCTTGAGAAAGTAGTAATAACTAATACTGAATATCGACCAAAATAAAATTATTTCACAGCTAATTTGCATATTAACTCCCCAAAGAGGTCAAGTTTATTTTATCATTTTCTGAAAGGTATTTTTATACTCTATCCAACTATGATAAACTTATGCGTGGCAAATCTTGAGAAAGTAGTAATAACTAATACTGAATAATGATCAAAACATCAGTTTATACGTAGCATAGGATTATTTCAAAGCTAATTCACATATTAACTCCCCAAAGAGGTCAAGTTTATTTTATCATTTTCTGAAAGGTATTTTTATACTCTATCCAACTATGATAAACTTATGCGTGGCAAATCTTGAGAAAGTAGTAATAACTAATACTGAATAATGATCAAAACATCAGTTTATACGTAGCATAGGATTATTTCAAAGCTAATTTACTTATTAACTCCCCAACGAGGTCAAGTTTATTTTATTATTTTCTGAAAGGTATTTTTATACTCTATCCAACTATAATAAACTTATGCGTGGCAAGTCTTGAGAAAATAGTAATAACTAATACTGAATATCGACCGAAATAAAATTATTTCGCACGCAGAAGAGGATAATTTCATAGTTAATTTGCATATTAATTTCCCAAAGAGGTCAAGAATATTTTATTATTTTCTGAAAAGTATTTTTATATTCTATCCAACTATGATAAACTTATGCGTTGCAAGTCTTGAGAAAGTAGTAATAACTAATACTGAATATCGACCGAAATAAAATTATTTCAGACGTAGAAAAGGATTATTTCAAAGCTAATTTGCATATTAACTCCCAAAGAGGTTAAGTTTATTTTATCATTTTCAGGAAAAATTTTTTTATACTCTATCCAACTATAATAAACTTATGCGTGGCAAATCTTGAGAAAGTAGTAATAACTAATACTGAATATCGACCGAAAATAAATTATTTCAGAAGTAGAAGAGGAATATTTCATAGCTAATTTGCATATTAACTCCCCAAAGAGGTCAAGTTTATTTTATTATTTTCTAAAAGTTATTTTTATGCTCTATCCAACTATGATGAACTTATGCGTTGTAAGTCTTGAGAAAGTAGTAATAACTAATACTGAATATCGACCGAAATAAAATTATTTCAGACGTAGAAAAGGATTATTTCAAAGCTAATTTGCATATTAACTCCCCAAAGAGGTTAAGTTTATTTTATCATTTTCTGAAAATTATTTTTATACTCTATCCAACTGTTATATACCCATGCGTGGCAATTGCTCCAAAATATCTATTTATATTATTGAATATTGACCGAAAATAAATTATTTCAGAAGTAGAAAAGGATTACTTCAACAATTCCACAATCCCTTATTATTACCTTTGTGTTGAATACGAATTCAAGGTTGCACTCGTTGTGTAATTTATTTATTCACTTAATTGCAATGTAGCCTACAATTTTAAATATAGGTAATATTGTCAATTTCCATCGGAAATCCAAGTTCTTGCCCGTAGTTATTTACTGACATCTAGTGCTTACGGATAATATGTAGGACTTCTGTTGCTGCAAAAAGTTACTCTAGCCCACAATTTCAGTTTCCAGTTCTCTAGGCTCTAGTTCAGTTCAAATATTTCTGTAACGCGAAGTATCGTTCAAAACTTTGCTTCAGATTAACTAGAAAAAGGTAAGAAGTTATCAGGGATATAATTAATACATGTGGACACAGTGGCATTTTTGGTGTAGAGCAAGGTTACTCCAGCCCACAATTCCGGTTACCCCAGCCCACAATTTCGGTTACGCTAGCCCACAATTCTGATTACGCCAGGCCTAGGCTTGCACGTAATTGACAAAAATCAATTCCGTAATTACGGCATCATTATTCCCGTAATTGCGATATTTTTTCACGCATTTAAACCTATCGTAACAACCAATTGAATCCACTTTTTTTTCCGAATGGGACATTGAAGTTGGGTTTTCCTATTCTTGGCAGTACTACACGCCGGCGGCAGATGTTAAAGACAACTATCAAGGAGTGAATTCAAATTAATTTTATTCTGATTTTTATCTTTTGTGTTAGCTTTGGTTTTTCTTTATCACCTTCGCAAATTAACCGTCCCATTTTTATGCGATCAATTTTATTTTATCATTACCGACACTGGTATACGGATATTTATGGAAACGATAGTTTTTTAAAACCACCTGAGTACTGAATAAAAATTACGGGTTTCTAATTTATTAACCAACAACGATTTCCTCGCGACGAAGACTTGTTTTTGCAGCGTTTTCTGCATTATCCGACATTACTGCCTTGTTAGCATTTTTATAATAATAATTATTGATGTCGACTTATTGACGATATTCCTATTACCATGCTTCATTTTACATTCAATCATTTCGCGGACTGAATGTTTATAACATTATTTGCGATAAATTTAGATCAAATATTATTTATTTGCGTATAATTTAAATACCGAACTTATATGACATGCCTTCTCCGAAAATACAAAGTTATATCGCAAAACAATGCATTTTGTGACATTTATTTTACACTCACAACATTTATTTGCTAACTCAAGTCGGCGATCCTATCGGCCAAGATTGACAAAAGTTTGGTCGAGTGCCGGTGGTATTCAAGTCGACGATAAATCAAAATAAGTTGCCGCATTTGGTAAGACAGTTAATCATATATGGCCGAAATATTGAGAGGAATTGTGAAAAACATCATGAGCAAGGCCAAGTCCGGACTGATATATAACGATAAAACCGTTAACAGAACATCAAGATTTTGTAATAGAAAATGGATCTCGCACAGAATAAACACACAGGCTCATATTTATTTATATATGATAGCAGTTAAATTTTCAACGGTCCGCGAGGAATCCGTCGTTTTGGTTCATTACGCAATCTCTCTTTTGTCGTCATATTGCTATTTGATAAGCGCGACATTAATTATCACGGCGAGGTATTGGCGCGAGTGATCAATCGCTCTTTTCGCTTATTTGGTTCCAATTCGTCGCGAAAGCTCTTCGTTAAATTTCACAAGATAGTCGTGTTGAAAGGTTATGGATATTTTCCTGTTTATACCCCAAGTCTGAAATGAAACAGCCAAAAATAATATGATATTCCATGTTCATATATCAAGTGTTGATATTAACAATAAAGAATGGTTAAGCATTGCTAATCCACACTTGGTGGGGAATTCCCACTATTCAAACGCGTGACTATAAAATAGAAACGGAACATATATACCATAAGTAACGGAAAACTGGAACAAGTAAATAATAAATAAAAGTAAAATGGATACAAATGTTTGATAGACCATGTTTGATAGATTGATCTCCTGCGTTCATTAGTCATTTCACCCGAAGAAGTTGAAACCGGGCGTGTTAGCGTCCATCTGTCTTAACACAATTCTTCCCCCTATCTACGGTTATATGTACATTGGCCATGGCCATGCTAGATAAGATGCGAGAGAAGTTGAAACCAGGTGTGTTGGCGTCAATCGGTCTCAACGCAATTCTATCCCTTATCTACGGTTAAGTTGCGGGAGAAGTTAAAACCAAGTGTGTTGGCGTCAAACGGCCCTACTCAGTTCTTGCCCCATTAACTACGTTAATAATTTACATTGGCCACGCCAGATAAGTTGATAATAGGTTAGTAAATGGCAACGCGTCATGCCTTCCTTCACCTACGTAACAAGAGAGAGAAAAACGGCTGCGAATACCGGAACTCTAACTTCTTCTACTTGTTGAGCTTTCATTTTCGCAATCGACGAAATTGACTTCTTGAAGAAAGCTCGTTTCAATGCAATAATTACGACTTTACGTAATTCGTAACTTCCCTTCCGTAACTCCAAATAATTACGTAATTCCGTAAATCCGTAAATTACGTGCAAGCCTAACGCCAGCCGACATTGCAGTTTAGCGGTCGGGCACATTTGATTGTGGGTACTAGTTTTAATGTAAAAGAACACGTTATTAGTCCCATAAATAAATTCAGTAGGTTTGCCTTGCTTAAAGTCCTTTAATCGCTGTAAATATATGCATGATTAACCCTCTGATTTCCAAGTAATTGTGGGCTGGGAAATTGTGGGCTAGAGTAACTTTGGTGGTACTGAGATGTGATACAGCTGTCTGACTGTACCGGTACCAGTGTACAGACAGACATCACACAGATAAATTGGGTCTTCTGTAGTTTCGTACCCAACGTACTTCTAGTGGGCGTAGCATAACAATTTTTGATATGTCAATCTTAACCCCCCCCTCCCCCAGCCCCACCTGATATCGTAGTCCAACGACGTCACAATCACGTACCGGTAATAAGGACTGGCCAAAGTACCGGTACTGGTATACCGTATCTACGATGCGGCGGTGTGGCTCAACGGGCTAAGCGTTAGGAATACGCTCGCCACCGCACCTCTAATTACTCTGCGTGGGTTCGCAGGTTCGAATCCCATGCAGGGATGGTTATGTGCGAGAGGATTGCTGGACTCCTCGCCGTCGTTGGGTGGTTCACGTAACCGCTGGTCGGTTACGGCTTCCTCCACCACCAAGTCCATGCTTCCGAAAACAAACAATACAGTAAAACTAATCCCATACCTACCCGACTTGGAATGGTAACCGGACGAGAGGCCGTGGTTCGCCATGTGGATAAGCCGTCCTATCGGCTTTCCTCTTCCCCGGGATAAATATGTAAATCCTATCCTCCTATCCTATCCTACGATCGTCTGAAATGGCATCTGTGCCTGATTCCCTAAGTGGGCGATATATAACGATACAAAGAGGGTCGGCACCATTGAGTCCACGAGTTATCGCAGTGTTCGCTCGCTATGGACCTTTCCCCGAGCATCGACTTCCTTGTTTACTTCGTGACATTGGCCAATCAGCAAGATGCAAAAAGTGACGTAACAATGCCCCTTTTCGCATCCGCTCAGACACTTTTCTCACTCAGACAGATTTCCAAGCGTGGTTGTAAACATTACCTTGTTTTCGCGTTTTTGAACTCTATTCGTTAGTTTTCAGTTATGTTTCGGAAACTTAAATATAAATCAGATAATTCAATTATCACTCCGTCTTCTTAGGAGTTTCAATTTAATTGCAGTAATAAAAATTATTTACTGTTAAAATAAAAGTACTTTTAAAAAACAGATTGTTGTATGCGCTGAATCATAATGATGGTTTGAAACACATACCCCATTTTATAGGCGCCACCTCGCAAAAGCATTCTTAAAATAGCCCCGAAAACTTTGCAATGGTAAAGTATAGGAGGAATTTTCCGGGGATAGGTCCATCCTAGTTCTTCGCAAGGAAAATTTCATTTTGGTTAAGTAACTGAAAACAAAAGCGATCTTTTTCATAAAGATTGGAAAACGAATTATTGATAAAGAACAAGAATAACATAATAAAGATCCGTAGGTTTAAGTGAAGCACTGTGGGCCAGATTATTTTACTCCGTGTGCCGGATATGACCCGCAGGTGGCCGACCTCTAATCTAAAGTCCTCATACTTTGGTTTCCCGCAATGCTTCTTGTGTTTTTATGGTAGTATTGTGGGCACCGATTACTGTTTTCCACCTTTCTCGATGTCGCAATAGCAGTAGTTGATAGAAAATTTCTTTTCATGTTCGAAACAGAACTCATGGTTACTCTTACCGCTTACTCTAAATTGCAGTTTGTCCCTAAAAACAGTATTCCTAAAAACTAGCAGCAACTATTGTGTGTGTCACAGTTTGCCTGGAAATACCCCAAACCTCACCGTTGACAGAAAAAGTTCGTCCCTTGTTTCCACGCAAGCTTTGTACGCAAAACATCTGGTCATCCACGTTTCTAAGACCAAATAAGCACGCGACTCAAAAATAAGCATTTTTCTTAGAAATAAGCACATCGTTACCTCATAAGACGCGGGCTAGAAAATAAGCACAAATCTTAGAAATAAGCACGGTAGGGCAACCCTGCTGGTAACTGATACTGCGGTGAATTAGGTGTGAGAACGTTTCGCGTTACAGGGATAATAAAAAGTATAGCGTATTTGAATCTGTTACATTTCCATCTTCAGCCAGTCAAAAAAATAACGTCATATAGCACGTTGCTATTATGGATATAGATTTCGTTGAAAATACCAATGAAAATAACGAATGGTCGGCTAAAATAAATTCTGTGCTTCCCCCTGCATTATCCGCACCTGCATATCAGAGTCAGAGTTATTTTAATTAAATCAACATTAAAGTTCTTGAGTAAAATGAAAATGACAGAAGTTGTGAAGAACGGATTGCTGCGTCATCGGGTCTACAACACCTTTGGGATGAGCAAAAAATAAATAAAGAAACAAATAATATAGATCAGTAGCAATACATAACAATAGAAATACATTAATTTGCTGTGGAACTTGCATTCTCTAGTGACAGTGGTGGGATTCAAATTTTTCGTCAGCCGGTTTCTTCACAAAAGTCATATTTTTCATAAAAAATTTCGTGAGACGATTCTATAAAACCGGCTGAATCCCACCACTGTCTAGTGGTAACAATATCAAAATTGTGTCTTCTAATAAAACATTTCTGGGAACTAGACAGTTGACGTTTACGGTATTAGTACCGTACAACATTGAGGCATAAATGTGAGGTTCGCATTTATCAAATAACGTCATAATGACCCCGATTGTTACATTGTGTTGCTTATTGTATAAACGCTAGCCTGGGTGTTGTAAAAAACTGTTTTTATTTTGATTTATAGTTTCGTATTAAGTTTTGAGACACCGCCAGTAACCACGTCTATTATCTGTAACATGCCCAATCAGTAAAGTATATAATTGAGATATTGGCAAATAATGAGAAATAGTAGCTAGGTTAATTGAATTTAACGTATACATTTGGCACAAATTATTCATTGTTTACATCTGAAATTTTATATCCTTCCTATTTGAAGCCAAAGAGATCGAAGTCAGTCTTATACTTTTTGCGTATACCTTTTACTAGGTACTTCACCAATGTATCGTTCAAATGTGTCTGTGTTGGTCTGTTTTGACTTTTCGTAATTTCGGGGGAACGTTATATTTGTAATTGCAAGTTTATCCATGAAATCAACCATGTCGTCATCAATGGTTTCAATGTGAGCAATGTAATCGTATGATATTGAGCAGGTAAACACAGTTTGTGATAAAGTTCCCAGTGTCTATCATACTCGTTTTCTTCTGTTAGGTAGGAAAGAAACTCTCCAAAGGAAGCCAACTTTCCTGTTTCGTTTTTTACAAATTGTTGGTGAATATTTTTGATATTTTAGCAAATCCCCGATTCCAAGGATACTCATGCTCTAATTTATTTATATATGCTGATAATAATCTGTACAGTGGATCTCTTACAATGATGAGTTTCTGATACGTATCAAGTCGCTTCTGAATCTCAGTGACATTTTTGATGTTTTTCAAGTCCAGATGTTTGTCGCCAAGTTCATGAGCAAGCCATGATTTCACTGCCTGTGGATTTGTCTCATTAACTATACCTTCCGTGATTAGAAGTAATTTCTTTATGCTTGAACATCCACATTTAGGAATCTCACACACCAAAAACTGAAATAAAAAAATAAGTATATATAGGTATTTGTAAAAAAAATGTGCAAGAAAACCATACTTTTGATACATTCGGAGTCGGAGGTTGGAGAAGAGTTACAACAAAATACAATACAGTTGAAACAAAATTTACCAAGGTAAAGTAAAAAAACGCCATAGTTCATGAGCATGAACTATGCTCGCAATATATACGTAATTCGCGAAGAAGTGTCTGTCACGAACTGATGCTTGAATTTAAATATTTGTATACGGTTAATGATTTGTGATTACTAAATATTGCACGACTTCGCCGTTGGACGATGTTCCGTACATTAGCAACATTTTCAGCGTTTAACAATTTCCTCAGCAATCTACTTATGCTGACCTTAGTATACTAAAATTATTGCGGTGGATTTTTATATATAGTGACCTGCGTATTCAATCCACTTTGTGATTACGCTTTTTTGATACTATAAAAATAGGGTTATTCAAAAACTTTGATGAGTGATTTCATAATACAATAAAATTATTAAGTTTTGCAATATATATATATATATATATTCAGATTAACCACTTAGGCCAAATCAACTACGATATCGAGAAGTGCATTATAAAGCATAGAGCACAGAAGCATTAGAGTATATTGTCCAAACATATGGGTTTACCTTGTATTTATCGGAATATAATAACTTGACTTGCTGCAGCATTTGGCGTATATCATCAGATTGCGTCACCATGGGCTTGTGCAAGCCTAATCGAAGACACCCATTGTGCAGATTTGATTTCCTATAATTTTGTCGAAGTTCAACTTCACTGAGAGCTTGTTTATGTTCGGATTTCCGGTGTAGGTAATGTTTCATCTACATAACAAAACACATAAAAAATAAACATATGATTTTTTTGTCTTTCGTCAATTGTCACTTTGTCAGCTATAACTAAATATAATTTTTTCCTTAAACTGGAGGTAATTGATAAAATACGTCAAATATATTTTGAATGAATGATTTCATTTTAAAGATTCAGTACTATTTCTGCCAAAGAAGTCGTCACAGCTAGATTGGAAAATATCACACAATTTTAATCACAACACACTTATAGTGCACATACTCTAGTTTTCATAATGAACGCAAAAAAAAATATTGAAAACAAGCATATTCAAGAGCAATAAAAATATTTACAACTTACTTTAAGGAAAAAAGCGACATGGACGACTAGCAATCCAAATAGTAAACATTTCCATGTGAAGAATTTTTCATGCTTCAGCTTTCTAAATTACTAAAATTAGATTGGAATCTAAAACAAAAAATAAAGTTATAAATAAGACACAGCTGCCCAATGACAGATACGTTATCAAAATGTTACTTTTGAATGGAAAATAAATTCAAAAAATAGTTAACAGCAAAAAAAAATGAAACAAAATCGACAACCTTTTAGCTACGGAATTCCAGTTTGAACCCTAGAAAATAATCATATATAGCATGAATGAAAATAGACCCAAAAGTCATTTCTATAATTGGTTTTTATGGCAAGACGAAGGAATTGGGTTTCAAATCTTTCGAAAACTTGAGACCATCCACAAAATAATGATCAATGTGAAAAATTTAATTCTTGAGTTCTTAGAGACCCATCGCTGGTTTTAGGGCAAGCCTTTCTATATCTTTCCGTGAAACCATTTGAGTTATAATATTATTATTATAATATATTATATATTCAGAGAAGCGCTTCAAGACCTCAACTTAATAAAAAGGTACAAATAAAAAGTGATAATAGGAGATGTGGTGACTGTCTCGCTAGGAGCTGCAGAACATTTGCACCACTTGATTTCTGAAAAATTAGAACCCGCAGTCTAACTAACATTATTAAAATTTACTATCATTTTACTATAACAACAACATAATTACAAAACAATTCCTATGTTCATTTCGTGTCCAAAAACTCTGTGATGCATTTATCCTACTTTCAATCTTTGGTTCCTATTTCATCTCTCCTGAATACTGAATATTCGACATCTGTTTGCCTGGTAAATCATAATTAAAATATACTTTGGGTAAATATATTTTGCTAAGGTACCTTCAAGGATCTTATATGGACAACTGTAGTCTGAGGTGCGTTACGGAATCTCATTTCTGGTCTAGATAATTGCTCATAAATATCCTGAGAGAAATTGGACTTCGAATTCGACAAGACAAAGTTCAGGATAAAGTGTTTTGTGTTATGAATACTCAACATTTGTATAAAGTCACAATGCTTGTTAGGGCCGAATACTCTTCAGTCAGTTGGTATGGCCGTTGAGGACGGAAATGTTAACATAAATGTATATATATATATATATATTTGAATGAACTTTGATTGCACAAATATGATTGTAACTTCCTTGTCTGTCAATATACTAATTTTGAAAATATTTCAATATTAGAAAGGGGAATATATTTTATATCCACAAACTTATGAGACTGGTGTGTACATAACGTTCCTCTCGTGTAGATAGAAGCGCCAGCTATTGGTGCAAGACTTGAAACAATTCAACGACACTGTCAGGGACGCAGCTGCGGAAAGTGAATTTCTTAAAGCGGATATCGTTGAGAAAATATTTTCATCATAGAGATCCCGTTGGAGAGCGGTAATTTTACAGTGTACAGGGTGTCCCAAAAGTAAGTTGGCCCTATACACTTTTAATTGTGATTTGCTTTACTCATTATAGAGCGTATATATAAATTTTCAGAGCCGAATTCATTTCAAATTCTCTGTTTAAATGCGCTAGGTTTGCCCTACTTCTTCTTGCCAGACAGAAATTGTGCACCTAATTTCTTGGATCTCCTTGTCATTCTGTGGGCTGTGGGTTGATGAAAAATGCAAACAATACCTAAATTTTACTACTTATCTATAGTATGTTTTCTGAAGAAATGAACGCCCTATGATGAGTACCTGAAAAGCAAACTTAAAACTGTATACTTACTTTTAAGACACCCTGTATAAATGTTCGGGCTTGGGCAAACAAAGACTTTTATATCACGTACACAATTTGACAATTAAAGCAATCAGTAGAAACTATTTCATATTTATAACTTATATTTGGAATTCGGTCATAAGGTTCAGAAACGTCGTGGGAGAACCAGTCATTATACATACAGAGACGAATCATCGATTTGCACAGGGAAAGTATGCATCAGAAAAAAACATATTTACGAGAAGGATAATTGAATCAATGAATACATTCCATGACATATCTTTTGAGAACTTGAGACCAATAAACAAAAAAATTCAATCAGATTTAATCCCGCATTGCTGTGTGGTGGCAATATCAGTTTTGAAGCAATATTTATTGTCATTTTATGTAATTACATTGTAATATATTTCCTACTCTTAACTGTTGTGTCCTGTGTCCTATCTTCTTCATCTGCTCCTTGACTGGATACATATTTCTCTAAAACTATTCTTTCCCGTGTACCACATGAATTGTCTGACTCACTGGCTTATTAATGTTCTGACCATTAATCAGTTATTGATGTTTTTTTGCGACTTTTCTTACAGGTAAAATTTTTTTTCGAGAAATACTGCAGCAGTACATAGTAAGAGATCTAGGTACTATCTTCTCTGTGAAGCTGCCGAGTACGGATTTACAGAGAGATTTCCCTACATCTACAAACAAACATTTTCAAATTGGTCACCTGTTACTCGTCTAAATTGGTGACAAATTTATAATATACCCTGCAGATATACCCATCCATAATACGCATAAAATTCATATTTCTGATTGCCAAATTTAATAAATGCACCTTCGTATAAAAATCAAATTTTTAAATGTTTTTGCTGTAACTTTCCTGTCTGTAACTTCCGTGCAATGAGCACGAAATATTAATACTGCTGCTGGATGTCTGGATGATCGACATTCACAATTTTCTAACAGGTTAGCCATTGTTTCGATAACGAAAGTTTCAAGTATGTAAACCAATATTAGATTGCTTGACACTAAGGATGGGGTTGGGGACCCAGAATTTAAAGACATGATAAAATGATGTTGATTTAAGGGGTAACTAGACGTTATGCACCTGCACATCATAGGTACGATATATAGATGTAAAATAGGCTACTGGATTGCAACTGCAAAATGAACTTCCCAATGATGGATCTGTTGTCAATATGTACCGAACAGAAACAAAAATTACAGTAGAGGGTAACGTTCAACTAAGTTATGGAATGCTAAAAATAATTAACAAAAACAAAATAAAAACGACATCTTTTTAATCTGAATAAAAATAATATACAAAAGAAACGCCGTATATAATATATATTCGCGATTAACGGTATTTTAATAATTTCAAATTAGTTTTTCATTGTATTCTACAGGAAAATGTCAGTAATGGGTGTCAATTTTCTTTGTATTTATTCATACAATACTCGGATTAGCTTATGAATGATGTTAAATCGAAATTTGGAAAATTTATGTTTAGGCCTACGTACTTGGGTATCCAACGATTTACATATAAAAGAATAGCCTTCTTTAAATACTGGTAATTTTAAATCTATGAGAGTAGTTAATTATACATATAAGATAATTGACAACCTGAACAATAACAATCTTGCAAAACAACCCAAATCTACTTCGTAGCCAACTACATTCATTTGCGATCCCTCAATAATCAAAAGTTAGTTTAACGTGTTTCGTGTTTGAGATGACATATATTTGAGAACGTCGGACCGACCGAACAAAGATATGATATCGAATTTCTAACTTGATAGTATAGTGACAATATCAGTTTTACGGTAACGATCAATGAATTTCCAATTCCTTTCGTCATGTTGCAGGACGTTCAAGACACTGTCTATAGCAGTGGTTCTTAAACTGGGGGGCGCGAGATGCTCACAGGGGGGCGTGAGAGGTCACAATATGTAATCGGAAATTTACATGTAACGGTTCCTGAAACGGTCTCCGCGTTCGTTAAAAATACCGGCTTTTTCGTGTTATAATAAATTTTTCTTCTCGTAATAACTATAATAATTCAAGATGTCTCTCTATTTTAAGTCATTTGTGTTCAAGGTAACTCGCGGTTGCGGCGATAAAATAAAAGCACCAGTACTCCAAAAATAACACGGTAATCCGCAACCATAAAAATGTCGATTACATTTTGTTTTGATTTGTATTCTTGCCAATTTCACCAATATGAGCTGTCCCTGCAACTCTTACTCCGCTCTATCGCAATGCCGCCACTCAATTAATTTCAAGATATCACAGTTACAGATATTCCTGCGATCCCACGGAGTAAAATTTATATCAAGTCTGTAGTTTTAGAACACTACTGGTGTGCCGCACGCACAAGGAATTTATTTACAAGGTCGCGGTCCACCCCGAAACAAAACTCATGTCGTTTTCCGTTTTATTTTTAGTATTTTATAATGCCACTTTTACAATAAAGAAATTTTAAGTTACGGATTCACTTCTTTATTCTATCTTTAGCATCTCGTCGCTGATGATTATAATAAAACTAACTCGTTTCCCTCAGAGGTGTTATGGTTCCATTCGAGAACAAAAAAATTAATTATAATCGTCCTCGCGGCTCAAGAATATGTTGAGGGAAATTTCGGATTTAGGAAGAATAAACACCGAAATCAAGATTTTTTGGGCTTAAATAACACGCCACGCTGACGTAAACAATGGAGATTTATACAAAATGCAATCGCAAACGCCTTAGCGACAACAATTAATTGCAATTTTACGTGTCTTATGTAAACGTTTAAGCAGAAAATACATTAAAGCATAGGTTTATTGCTTGTTTAGTTTTACTTAATAATTAGATTGACTTTGCCAAGTATTGAAAACTGAGCGGAAAAACGAGAATGTATGATGACCAACCACTATTTGGCTTTATACATACGACAGTGAATGGCGAAGATGTACTCCGAAGCGTTTTATGCCTAAACAATCTGAGCAATGACGCTATGAGACCAACACTCAGTTATAGCGCCATCCTAATATATAACAACTTGTCCATCACGAAAGCATTTTTTCAAAGCAAAAAGAGGGGGGGGGGGGCGAAGTGTGTAAAATTTTTCAAAGGGGCGCGGCTCAAAAAGTTTAAGAACCACTGGTCTATAGAATGATTTTCTAATTTTACTAATGCTCTCCTCTCCATATTTCATACAGGTACACAACATCAGTACACAATACAATATGTAGTACTAGAACAACCTAAACATTTGGCGATACTTCAACCGTGTACGTCGCCAGACTGTGCATATTTGCTTGCTACCACACCCATTATTTGAACTTGAATAAAAAAAAAACGTTCTCACCTGGCCGAGTATGCTTAACTAAATCAGAGAAATGAATCTCGTATTTGAATGGAAACAAAGCATCGAACTGTACTGGCGGAACCTAAGGGCCACGAAAACCCGGTTGAAAACCACCGCAAGTTTTGTCAAGATGCCAAGTGCAAAAACTTGGAAAGCAATGACCTAAGCCTAGGCTTACCATACGCCCCGCTTTAGCGGGACAGTCCCGCTTTTTAGCGTTTTGTCCCGCCGTCCCGATAAGTCAGCCAAAAGTCCCGCTTTTTCAGCATAATACACAAACATGTTCTCGTTACTTTTGTTTCTGTGTAGCGCAGCGCTAGCCTACGTACTGAAGGTGAATGCGTTCGTTTCCCGCTGATTCCCATTGATGGCAGACGTATCGCATGTAAAACCAATATTAATTAGTCTAAATTCGAATTATTTGTACCGGTATCGTTAACGTCAATTACTTCCTATTTTTCGAACTGAACCCGATATTTGGACAGAGAATATGCGCATGAAATTTCGATAACAATATGGTCAATAAAGACAGCTTTAAATGTAGGAATGTAGTAAAATCGGAAAATGTGAAGTTACAAAATTACAGCTAAGGGGTCGTTGTCTTTTGAGGTGTCCCGATTTGGAGTCACAAAAATATGGTAACCCTATGTAATGCCCATTTAGAAAGTGTTCCAATCGTGGTATCATTCAGTGTGCCGTCAATGTCGAAAAGCTATCGAGCGTGATGCAGCAACAAGAAATGTCATTTGTAATTTTTTTCTTTCAATATGACGACTGAGTTGAGTTCACGAAAAGTCGCAGTCTTCGCGCGCTGTTCTGTTTTCAACTTTTGAAAAATATGTGCAGCCCGTCAAGACTTGTAACCCCTAATTTTGGCCAGCGAGCGACAAAAGGTTGCCGACCCCAGGCATAGCCGATGGTCGGTTACAGCTTCCCCCACTATCAAGTCCATGCATCTAAAACAAATACATGGCTGATTAATTCTATGGACTAGTAACCGGACTGGAAGCCGCCGTACATGAGGAATCGGGGGGGGGGGGGGGGGGGGGAGTGGATCAAATTTTATTCAACGGAAAGTGCGGTGGTTAAGGCGAAAAATCCTTAAATTGAAGAAGTGGATGGAACTTCTAACGACGAATCGTGAGGTTGTTGAAAGTGACTTTTGATGACTGGTAACTAGGGTTTCCATCAACCCAGAACCAAAAATAAGCACGGGCGTCAAAGTGATATTTTTCAAGGGGAGGGGTCTTACAACGGCAGAAACGCAGAATAGAATGAGATCATACACGAGTCCCCACTTTTATCATTAGAAGTCGCTTCGAACATAGTTGTACGCAGCTCCAAAATTGCAAAAAGCTATGGAAAGACACGGAGTCACTGCACATGCAATCTCTAAGACAAGGGTCGGCAACTTTTGTCGCTCCGGGCTAAAACCAAGTGTTACGAATCTTGGCGGGCCGCACATCATTTTTCAAGGAAGTTAAAAACTGAACGGGTGGCAGATGAAGCACATTATTTATACAGATTAGAAATTCAAATTTCGGACTTTAATGGACCTTTCCTCGACCTTTGACCCCCGGAAAATTCTTCCTATACTTTACCATTGCCAAGTTTTCAGGGCTATTTTAAGAGTGCTTTTGCGATTTGGCGCCTGTAAAATGGGGTATGTGTTTCAAACCATCATTATGATTCATCGCATACAACAATCTGTTTTTTAAAAGTACCGGTAAGGAATTTAGCCTAGTCTATCACAGCTATTTCTACACTAATTTTTATTACTTGCAATTAAATTAAAACTCCTAGGAAGACAGAGTGATCATTGAATTATCATGATTTTATTTTAGTTTCCGAAACTCAACTGAAAACTAACAAATAGAGTTCAAAAATGCCGAACACGAGGTAATGTTTACAACCACGCTGAAAATCTGTCTGAGTGAGAAAAGTGTCTGAGCGGGATGCGAAAAGGGGGCATTGTTACGTCACTTTTTGCATCTTGCTGATTGGCCAATGTCACGAAGTAAACAAGGAAGTCGATGCTCGGGGAAAGGTCTATAGCGAGCGAACACTTCGATAACTCGTGGACTCAAGTCGTCTTATTGGACACGTAGTGGACATAACGATCGTTTCAATATTATGTTGTTGTTCTTGTTCTTTGACACGTTTTTAAAAGTCGCTTTTCTCTTCGAATACTGGACCAATTGCTTTGAAATTTTTAGTGGTTAAAGATAAAAATTTTCTCCAGAAGGCTATTACTTTTTTTTCGCTATGACGTCATCAAAATTATGTGACTCTACGTGTCCATATATTTGAGCATAGCTCTCTTGTTATACAAAATATTTACAAATAACATTTAATGCGACATTAGGTGACACACTAGATAAAATCGAAATTTTCTAAATGTCTATCACTAATGGACCTTTCCCCGAGCATCGACTTCCTTGTTTACTTCGTGACATTGGCCAATCAGCAAGATGCAAAAAGTGACGTAACAATGCCCCTTTTCGCATCCGCTCAGACACTTTTCTCACTCAGACAGATTTCCAAGCGTGGTTGTAAACATTACCTTGTTTTCGAGTTTTTGAACTCTATTCGTTAGTTTTCAGTTATGTTTCGGAAACTTAAATATAAATCAGATAATTCAATGATCACTCCGTCTCCTTAGGAGTTTCAATTTAATTGCAGTAATAAAAATTATTGTAGAAATAGCTGTGATATATTAGCCTGAAATTCGTTACCGGTACTTTAAAAACAGATTGTTGTATGCGATGAATCATAATGATGGTTTGAAACACATACCCCATTTTATAGGCGCCACCTCGCAAAAGCATTCTTAAAATAGCCCCGAAAACTTTGCAATGGTAAAGTATAGGAGAAATTTTCCGGGGATCAAAGGTCGGGGAAAGGTCCATCCCTAGTTCTTCGCAAGGAAAATTTCATTTGGTTAAGTAATTGAAAACAAAAGCGATATTTTTTCATAAAGATTGGAAAACGAATTATTGATAAAGAACAAGAATAACATAATAACGATCCGTAGGTTTAAGTGAAGCACTTTGGGCCGGATTTCTTTACTCCGTGTTGCGGATATGACCCGCAGGTGGTCGACTCTAATCTAAAGTCCTCATACTTTGGTTTCCCGCAATGCTTCTTGTGTTTTTATGGTAGTATTGTGGCACCGATTACTGTTTCCACCTTTCTCGATGTCGCAATAGCAGTAATGATAGAAAATTCTTTCCATGTTCGAAACAGAACTCATGGTTACTCTTACCGCTTACTCTAAATTGCAGTTTGTCCCTAAAAACAGTATCCTAAAAACTAGCAGCAACTATTGTGTGTGTCACAGTTTGCCTGGAAATACCCCAAACCTCACCGTTGACAGAAAAAGTTCGTCCCTCGTTTCCACGCAAGCTTTGTACGCAAAACATCTGGTCATTTCTTAGAAATAAGCACGGTATGGCAACCCTGCTGGTAACTGATACTGCGGTGAATTAGGTTGAGAACGCTCGCGTACAGGGGATAATAAAAGTACAGTATTTAGCGTTCACATTTGAATCTGTTACATTTCCATCTTCAGCCAGTCATTGAGTTGAAAAAGAATAACGTCATATAGCACGTTGCTATTATGGTATAAATTTCGTTGAAAATACCAATGAAAATAACGAATGGTCGGCTAAAATAAATTCTGTGTCCCCCTGTATTATCCGCACCTGCATATCAGAGTCAGAGTTATTTAATTTTCACTTGAATCAATAAGTTTCAACATAAAAGTTCTGGAGTAAAATGAAATGACAGGAGTTGTGAAGAAAGGATTGCTCCGTCATCGGGTCTACAAGACATTTGGGATAAGCAAAAACTCAAATAAAGAAACAAATAATGGAGATCAGTAGCAATACATAACAATAGAAATACATTAATTTTCAGTGGAACTGGCATTCTCTAGTGGCAGTGGTGGAATTCAAATTTTTTGTCAGCCGGTTCCTTCACAAAAGTCCTATTTTTCAGCCGGTTCTGTTGCAAACAGAACATTGAAAGTAACCAGTAATGCTAACCGGTTCGCTGATCTCATAAAATTCCGTGAGACGGTTCTATAGAACCGGTGCGAACCGGCTGAATCCCACCACTGTCTAGTTGTAACAATATCAAAATTGTGTCTTCTAATAAAACATTTCTGGGAACTAGACAGTTGCATCAAGTTTACGGTATTGGTACCGTACAAACATTGAGCATAAATGTGAGGTTCGCATTTATCAAATAACGTCATAATGACCCCGATTGTTACATTGTGTTGCTTATTGTATAAACGCTAGCCTGGTGTTTGTAAAAAACTGTTTTTATTTTTATTTATAGTTTCGTATTAAGTTTTGAGACACCGCCAGTAACCACGTCTATTATCTGTAACATGCCTAATCAGTAAAGTATATAATTGAGATATTGGCAAATAATGAGAAATAGTAGCTAGGTTTAATTGAATTGAACGTATACATTTGGCACAAATTATTCATTGTTTACATCTGAAATTTTATATCCTTCCTATTTGAAGCCAAAGAGATCGAAGTCAGTCTTATACTTTTTGCGTATACCTTTTACTAGGTTTCTGGTACTTCACCAATGTATCGTTCAAATGTGTCTGTGTTGGTCTGTTTTGACTTTTCGTAATTTCGGGGGAACGTTATATTTGTAATTGCAAGTTTATCCATGAAATCAACCATGTCGTCATCAATGGTTTCAATGTGAGCAATGTAATCGTATGATATTGAGCAAGGTAAACACAGTTTGTGATAAAGTTCCCAGTGTCTATCATACTCGTTTTCTTCTGTTAGGTAGGAAAGAAACTCTCCAAAGGAAGCCAACTTTCCTGTTTCGTTTTTTACAAATTGTTGGTGAATATATTTTGATATTTTAGCAAATCCCCGATTCCAAGGATACTCATGCTCTAATTTATTTATATATGCTGATAATAATCTGTACAGTGGATCTCTTACAATGATGAGTTTCTGATACGTATCAAGTCGCTTCTGAATCTCAGTGACATTTTTGATGTTTTTCAAGTCCAGATGTTTGTCGCCAAGTTCATGAGCAAGCCATGATTTCACTGCCTGTGGATTTGTCTCATTAACTATACCTTCCGTGATTAGAAGTAATTTCTTTATGCTTGAACATCCACATTTAGGAATCTCAAACACCAAAAACTGAAATAAAAAAATAAGTTATATATAGGTATTTATAAAAAAAAAAATGTGGAAGAAAACCATACTTTCAATACATTCGGGGTCGGAGGTTGGAGAAAAATTACAACAAAATACAATACAGTTGAAACCAAATTTACCAAAGTAAAGTAAAAAAACGCCATAGTTCATGAGCATGAACTATGCTCGCAATATATACGTAATTCGCGAAGAAGGGTCTGTCACGAACTGATGCTTGAATTTAAATATTTGTATACGGTTAATGATTTGTGATTACTAAATATTGCACGACTTCGCCGTTGGACGATGTTCCGTACATTAGCAACATTTTAGGCATTTAACAATTTCCTCAGCAATCTACTTATGCTGACCTTAGTATACTAAAACAATTATTGCGGTGGATTTTTTCATATATAGTGACCTGAGTATACAATCCATCTTTGTGATTACGCTTTTTTGATATATACTATAAAAATAGGGTTATTCAAAAACTTTGATGAGTGATTTCATAATACAATAAAATTATTAAGTTTTGCAAAATATATATATATTTAGATTAACCACTTAGGCCAAAACAACTACGATATCGAGAAGTGCATTATAAAGCATAGAGCACAGAAGCATAGAGTATATTGTCCAAACATATGAGTTTACCTTGTATTTATCGGAATATAATAACTTGACTTGCTGCAGCATTTGGCGTATATCATCAGTTTGCGTCACCATGGGCTTGTTCAAGCCTAATCGAAGACACTCATTGTGCAGATTTGATTTCCTATAATTTTGTCGAAGTTCAACTTCACTGAAAGCTTGTTTATGTTCGGATTTCCGGTGTAGGTAATGTTTCATCTACATAACAAAACACATATAAAATAAACATATTATTTTTTTTGTCTTTCGACAAATTGTCACTTTGTCAACTATAACTGAATATAATTTTTTCCCCAAACTGGAGGTAATTGATAAAATACGTCAAATATATTTTTGAATGAATGATTTCATTTTAAAGATTCAGTACTATTTCTGCAAAAGAAGTCGTCACAGCTAGATTGGAAAATATCACACAATTTTAATCACAACACACTTATAGTGCACATACTCTAGTTTTCATAATGAACTCAAAAAAAAATATTGAAAACAAGCATATTCAAGAGCAATAAAAATATTTACAACTTACTTTAAGGAAAAAAGCGACATGGACGACTAGCAATCCAAATAGTAAACATTTCCATGTGAAGAATCTTTTCATGCTTCAGCTTTCTAAATTACTAAAATTAGATTGGAATCTAAAACAAAAAATAAAGTTATAAATAAGACACAACTGCCCAATGACGAATATGTTATCAAAATGTTACTTTCGAATGGAAAATAAATTCAAAAATGTAGTTAACAGCAAACAAAAAATGAAACAAAAACGACAACCTTTTAGCTACGGAATTCCAGTTTGAACCCTAGAAAATAATCATATATAGACCCAAAAGTCATTTCTATAATTGGTTTTTATGGCAAGACGAAGGAATTGGGTTTCAAATATTTTGAAAACTTGAGACCATCCACAAAATAACGATCAATGTGGAAAATTTAATTCCTGAGTTCTTAGAGACCCATCGCTGGTTTTAGGGCAAACCTTTCTATATCTTTCCGTGTAACCTTCTGAGTTTTAATATTATGACGTATATATTCAGAGAAGCGCTTCAAGACCTCAACTTAATAAAAAGGTATAAATAAAAAGTGATAATAGGAGATGTGGTGACTGTCTCGATAAAAGCTGCAAAAAAATCCGCACCACAGGATGATAAATTAGAATCTGCAGTCTAACTAACATTATTAAAATTTACTATCATTATAATATCCAACAACATAATAACAAAACAACTCCTATGTTCATTTCGTGTCCAAAAACTTAGTGATGCATCTATACTACTTTTAATCTTTGGTTCCTATTTCATCTTTTTTGAATACTGAATATTCGACATCTGTTTGCCAGGAATATCATAACTAAAATATACTTTGGGTAATTTTATTTTGCTAAGGTACCTTTAAGGATCTTATATGGACAACTATAGTCTGGGGTGCGTTCCGGTATCTTATTTCTGGTCTAGATAATTGCTCATAAATATCGTGAGAGAGAAATTAGACTACGAATTCGACAAGACAACGTTTAGGAGAAAGTGATTTGTGTTATGGATAATCAACATTTGTATAATGTCACAATGCTCATTAGGGCCGAATACTCTTCAGTCAGTTGGTATGGCAGTTGAGGACGGAAATGAACTCCTCAAAGCGGATATCCTTGAGAAAAAAATTTCATCATAGAAATTCCGTTGGAGAGCGGTAATTTTACAGTGTACAGAGTGTCCCAAAAGTAAGGTGGCCCTATACACTTTTAATTGTGATTTGCTTTACTCATTATAGAGCGTATATATAAATGTTCAGAGCCGAATTCATTTCAAATTCTCTGTTTAAATGCGCTAGGTTTGCCCTACTTCTTCTTGCCAGACAGCAATTGTGCACCTAATTTCTTGGGTTAATCTCCTTGTCATTCTGTGGGTTTATGAAAAATGCAAACAATACCTAAATTTTACTACTTATCTATAGTATGTTTTCTGAAGAAATGAACGCCCTATGATGAGTACCTGAAAAGCAAACTTAAAACTGTATACTTACTTTTAAGACACCCTGTATAAATGTTCGGGCAAACAAAGACTTTTATATCACGTACACAATTTGACAATTGAAGCAATCGGTAGAAACTATTTCATATTTATAACTTATATTTGGAATTCGGTCATAAGGTTCAGAAACGTCGTGTTTACACAGGGAACGTATGCATCAGGAAAAAACATAATTACGAGAAGGATAATTGAATCAATGAATACATTCCATGACATATCTTTTGAAAACTTGAGACCGACTAAACAAAAAAATTCAATCAGATTTAATCCCGCATTGCTGTGTTGTGGCAATATCAGTTTTGAAGAAATATTTATTGTCATTTTATGTAATTACATTGTAATATATTTCCTACTCCTAACTGTTGTGTCCTGTGTCCTATCTTCTTCATCTGCTCCTTGACTGGATACTGACTGATTAACTGGCTTTTAATGTTCTGACCATTAACCTGAGTAAATAATAAATATGTGCTTGTTTTTGTTATTGAGTAGGCCTACTAAGAGTTGAGAATTAGCTGCGTCATTAAACTATCAAAAGTACCTATTTCAAACTGTTTAGCATTATTAACGCGAACAAGGGCTGCAAAAAATTTTAATATATTTAAAGGGGCCGTGAGCTCAAAAGTTTGGGAAGCCCTGATATAGAGTATAAACTATGAGTATGAATAAAAGAAGCAATTGAATTTTAGTAAGATCAGTTTATGTGTGAAATTTGCCATTTTGAAGTGACGGTTATAGCTTTTGCCAATCGTATACTGTGGAATAAACGTAGCTCGATGTTGACAAATACTTATTTAAAGACAACAAAATCTTAAGACGCGATGAAATGATGCTAACTTTGAAATACACTGGTTCAGGCAAGAAGTTCTGATAAAATAACAGAGGAACTGTTACTCTGAACTGTTACTGTTACTTGTCGCTGACAATTTGTAACGCGAGCATAACGTTTTTGTACCGGCGTTATTAATTTCAGAACTATTGTGGTTAAATATTAATAGGTTTTATTTTTTTATGTGGTTATCCGAGCCGCTAACAACCGTTGCTCAGGATCATTGTTTGCAAACACCCTATTGTGGCAAAATAAGCTTGTCTGTATTCGCAAAAAAGATTGTTCTCTGTGAATATATCTCCACAAGAAGAGACGTTATAGTTACGTAATAAAAATAAAATAAAGATATTTTGGCATAGAAATCAAAATTATATTTTCAAATTTACACGACGTATGGCTGTTTCAAGAAAACAAGTATAAAATTTACAATCGCTCACTCAACGGTGTCCCAATCTCACGTAAAATTGGAAAGTTAAAAATATTTAGAAATACCCACTTTGAATTAAATTGAACTCGTAAATGTACTGCAAAAGTTGCAAACAGGAAGAACTCAAATTTATAAGATCTATGTATCTTTAGGGCTGACAGCTCACAAGCATGTTCAAAATATACAGAGTGCAGAGGTATAGTTGTGATAACACCGACATCCTCAACGTGACATCGTGATGGTGACACCGACATCCTCAACGAGAATAAACAAACCAAAATATGAAGATATTTTCACTTAGAATAAATATTAGACAAAGGAAAAACCATTTATATTTTGGAGGCTTAAAAAAATTCTGCACTCATTTTTGTCCGATTTGTTTAGTCAAGCTGACCGCAGATTCCAGTTGCATAATGGTAGATATGTTGTCAGAACATCTTTTTCGAGTGGGAAAGAACTTGACAGAAAAGGGTAAAATTCACCTAAGTTATTTAACACAAAAAAAGAGAAATAAAAATGTACAAAAAAAACGGTAACATACAAAAATAACGCCGCAGATAATGATCGCAATTGGCGACATTTGAATATTCTTATAATAGTTTTTTTAAATACTGAATATTCGACATCTGTTTGCCTGGAAACTCATAACTATAATATATCTTGGTTAACTATATTTAATTGAGGGACCTTCAAGGAAGTCATATGGAAAACAGTAGTGGATCATGAGCTCCAGAGTGCGGTGGGTCCAGTCCGGTGGGTCCGATGGATTCAGTCCTTGGTCGATAAGCTTTCAGGGTAACGCGGTTTGAAATGAACGTAACAGAAAAATTTTGTTTGCTTAGAGCTTGTAATCATTCGGCGTACGAAAGATTTTTGATCGTTTGTCTAATATGGATTAGTGCGAGCGAAACGATTTAGATTGTTTTTTATCAGAAGTAATTTGTCGTCAGATTAACTGTAATTTTTTTGATGTCTGGTATAAGCAAACGAAATATTTACTCGCCGTGGGAGAAAAATTGCCAGTATTCCCGCTGCGCATCTGGGTTTTGAAGGACATAACTTGACAATCAAATCAATGGACATGTTGTCATTTGTGTTCGAGTTACGATTTACATTTTTGCTTTGTAAAATAGATATAAACTCTTAGCAAAGTAGTAAAAAAAAATTGCGAGTGGGACTTCTGCATTTTATGATAGTATTATGTTAACTAAATATGAAAATTTTTATACGGCCATA